TTATTATATAAATTTTTATAATATAAGGTTGTGTTAGAATATTCACATGTTTTACATATGTAATAGATATGTGATCATATAAATAACGAATAAAAGAAAAAACAAAAAGATTATCATAAACATTAATAATTTTTTTTTAAACCGCCATTTTACTCTGAATTTTACGCTGAATATAGTGTTTACATCTACACTACAAAAAGTAGAAATAAAGCTAAAGGGCTTCATTTCTATAGGTAAGAGTCATGGTGTCAAAACACTATCCTGCCACCATGATTTTACAAATCTATAGATCAACTCTATATATCGTGAAAAGTTCTAAACGTTAATAAGAATTTTATTTAATTAAAACAAATTGCGTTACCCTGGGCTCAGCATGGATGTGAGTAACACGTTCGATTTCCACTTTTCACCACCAAAGCTTTTGTATATTCTAGCAGATATATAACCAGCAGTAGCTCCAAGACAGACATATAAAACCATAGCGCAGGTCATCAAAGCTCCTCTATTAGCAGGAGACAAAAATCCCAAGCAAGCAAATGCTACAGAATACAAAATAAAATATCATATTTTTATACACTTTATAAATTGTAGCACGTAGTTGTTTTAAATTACTAAATACTTTTAGAAATTGAACAATCATATTTAAGAACTTACCAAGCGTTACGAGTGTCATGTAAAAGACTTGAACACCAGATCCAAATAGAACTGAGAGTAACATTCCTTTGCGAGGAGGACGAAATACATCACCATGAACCAATTTCCAGCCAAATTCTTCCTGTGCGTCTTCTCCTGATTCTATCTGGAAAGAAGCCTGCGTTATTGCAACACAGACATGGGAATATCACAGTTTTATGATATAAAACTAAACGATAAATCGTTTGTTCTTGTGGAACATTACAGCAATTACTAAAAATAACATTCCTTTTGTGTACCTGATTGTATCTCGCAATATCTTTGTGCAGTGTGCGAAGTATTATCATGGCCACCATTCCAGAAAGAAACAAAGCAATTATTAATGAATTAAGAATACTAAACCACTGAATATTTGTGTGTGGTATAGATTCTAAAATATAATCCCATCTAGATGACCATTTAATTGTATTGTTTTCCTAAAATGAAACAAAATAATTATGTATTGAATAAAACAAACAAGATATAAATAATTTTAATTTTACTGTATGAATGCTTACTGTAAATGTTACAGAGTATGTATAAGTAACAACTAATTGCTGACCAACAGGAAGCGCGTCACGTGGTATTTGTAATGTTGCTTTGTTTTCACAATCAGGAATATTACCATGTTTAATACTGCGAGGAACCACTTTAACAGCTATTGAAAAAATAATTATAAATTCAATAAAATTCAGCATTGCAAATTAGACAATATCAACATAAAACTTTAATCCTTACATATTATGCGTCCACCATTTTCCTTAAATGCAGACCCCCAATCTTCTTTAACACCACTATGATATGTGATTGTAAGGTCTACATGATTAAATAGGTAATAAGTTTTTGCTTCGTTATATGCGCCCTAATAAAGAAAAAAAAAATTAATTTTAGTTCTTTAAATATAAGAAATGATAAAAATATTTAAAAAATTTTCTGTTGAACATATATTTCAACAATTACGTTTCTTTTCCTTTTTGATTCAGAAATAATATTGATCGATATTTACATCAATGTTACAAGTGTCTGATTGAGATCTTGGTTCTCGAGGATAGCAACCCATAGGAAATCCAGTGCTACAATACTGTTGTTGAATTTCTGATTGATAACACCATGTAACTGGCATGTTATCTATAAAAAGATTACCAATCCTTAATTTAATATTGAACCTTAATTTAATCCTGTTATATCTCAATTCGTTTTGTTGTTAACATATTACCAACTATCCAATGATGCTGATAATTAAGTGCCATTCCTTTTTTTAAAAATTCCAATTTCTTTTCTGACTCTTTATCTCCTCCAGTGTATGTTCTTCGACATGCAACAGCACATTTGACATTTTTCATGAATTCTAACTGAAAATATACATAGTTTAACACTTTTCTTATGTTCTATTATATACTTAATATATGCTATATATTTATACTTTAATTTTTTTATTTTATAAAATATT